AGATCTTATTTACAAAGGTAGAGAGCTATGTTCGCACAAATCATGATCACTTTGTTGCTCTGATGTCAGATATTTTCTTTCTGTTAATGGAGTGACAAACGATTAAATGAAACAAATTGATTATTCTTTTTTGAAATTTATATAACTTCTTTTTTATTATGATTTAAAAAAATTATAGACACAGTGTGTTGCTTTATTGACCAGGCTGGTTTTGAACTCCTGGCCTCAATCGATCCTCCCACATTGGCATCCCAAAGTGATGGGATTACAGGCATGAGCCACCATGCCTGTCCTTATATCTCTTCTTCATATATCAATGTTATATTACTTTCACCATTTTATCCAGGTGCCTTGATATAATTTTATACCATGTTACTATACATTAATTTTATATTATTAAAAAGATAACTCATGGAAAAGGCTTGTTTTGTTTTTAAATCAAAATGGTCTTAAATTTTTCAAATTTTAAAGTTCATATACTAACCCTGGAAGAATACAGATAACACTTAATTGATAATTCTGAACACTTCTAACTAAAGTAAGTTGTAAGGTCATAGCTATGATTTCCCTCTGTGGAACAAGGAAAAATAAAAAAACAAAAACAAAAACAGAACATGCTTACTGGGAAACACCTGTATTACAATTAGCAATGAGGCTATAGGTCTATGTACCAATTCACTATTACAGTGATAACAAATGGCATTTTTTATGTTTTGTATGTGCTTGACATGTCAGAAAACATTGGCCTCCAAAAAATATATGACAAAGACAAGTAAATATGAAGAATAAGATATGGATTAACAAAAATCTGTAAAGTTGATATTGGAGTAGAGTTTGTGGTTAGAATTTATAACAGGTGAGCAATAAGGAGTTGAGGAAATTTAAAAATATTATAAAGAACATATAGTTTCTTGTTTATGGTATTATGATGTAAAAGCTATGATAGTATTCAATTTACTTGGGGGAATGTTTGAGAGTAAATTATCTTACAGAAATGTGATTTAAGAGTAGCTAACATATTCCTAAGATAAGAAGTTTTGAAATTCTAATGCTAACCTCTGTTTGGTGTATAAAAAGGAAGATAATGTAAGATAGAAATATAAATTTTTGAGTATGATTTGAAAAGAAACAAATATTAAAAAATTAAACTGGGAAACAATTATGACACCAGAATTCAAAGTGAAAGTTTCCAGATTGTAAAATCAATGTCTCCAGTTCAGAAAACTTACTTTGTTGAAAGGAATAACAACAACAACAACAACAACAACAACAACAACCAAAAAAAAAAAAAATTCAAATTCTTTCAGAGTATAATTGTGTTCGATTTTAATAAAAATTAGCATAAAGTTAATAAATACAAAAGTTTCCAAGTATTTAATGATGGAAGACTTTAGTTATTTAAGCTTTTTGTAGCATTTCTTTCCATACTATATTCTTTTTTAACTTTTAGTGGAACTTGTGTTAAATAACACAACTTTAAAATTCTAAATTTAAATATTAATGACGTAGATTAGCTCATTTTAATCAACTTCAATTCTAAATTTTGGATCTTGTAAAGAATAATCAACTCAGTTTTGTTTGAAGACAGATAATCATTCAGATTTTTATAAGAAAATAAATTTGATGACATTAATGACACCTCATTGGAAAAATCACCATGAAAAGTTTTCTAAGAAATTGTTATAATTCAGAGTAATGCTATATTTCTGTAGCTTATGAGCTAACTATTAGCTATTAAAACTTATATTGTATAATTATTGCAATAAATATATGACATATATATTGTATAATTACATATAGATTGTATAATTATATGACCTCTAATTAGCACAGTACTGGAGTTGTAAGAGAGAGTGGGTGGTGAGGCTAGAATGTGAGAACATGTCACCTTCTTGAAACAATAGCTTTTATTCCTGTAAATTCCTTTTCCCGCCTCTACTTACATTATAATTATGAAAACAAATCCCTATGCCTAAATCAAATGTCTGAGTAGAGGTGGCTCAATGTCCTGCTACAATACCTTAAGATAAATCATTATTAATAACTAATAGGTATGTACTTTCTTATTTTTTCTGTAAAATCACTTTTTCCCATTATTTCAACAATGCAAAATGTTTGTTGTATGAAATAAATTATTCTGTTTGTAACTGAAACCAAAGTTAACAATAGCAATACTCATATTTCACTGTGGAAGTAATTTTCTCTCTTCCTCCAATAGATGCTGCACTGTACTTAAACTGATGTCCTTATCTACATGTCCTCTCTGTATCCTTTCCTGCCTGCCTCGTGTATCCTTGCTGTTCCAGGTTCTCCAGTCATCACAATCAAATAATATTTCATTTAAGCAAGGCTTGTGTCTTCTATGGAAATCCCATGCTGTACCTTTCCTTCGCACAATTCATGTTCCTAATTATTTTCATCTATTGTCCTGTTTATTTGTGCCATAGAGGAAAGATCACTAATGTTGAAGTCAATTTGGCATGAAATTCTAGCCACATAACATGTCTGGCTTTCCTTCTCAGTAAACATGGAACAATGTTACCTGCTTTATAGATTTGTATGGATAATTACATTAAGACTTTGTGTAACATCTAGAACAACGTGTAGCATGTGAAAGTTAATTCTTCTTTACCTTGTGACTTCATTTGCTTTACTGTGTCCTGTTTGGTTTTTTCCCCACTACAGTAGGGGTTGTGAGGAAAACTGTTCTATTAATTTGAATTTTCTGTAATATCTACTGTGGTTAATATATAGCATACATGTTTGAGAGAATGAACAAATAATTCATCTAAATGGCAGCTCATAATTTCTTCTAGTGATGAAAGGCTGTATATACATTTATGTCCTATTTATGTGTGTGTGTGTATATGTATGTGTGTGTGTGTGTGTGTATGTGTATGTGTGTGTACGTACATACATCTCCTAGTACCAACTTTTGACTCTCATGTACTTCATGGTCACAGAGGAAGGCAAAAAAAGACACAGGAATAGAATGTTGTGGTTTGCTAGGGTAGAGCATTGTGATCTTGTTCATGAATCTGTCAATTACCTGTCAACTTAAATATCCCTCTTTAAGTATCTGTCAGTTATTTTGTGCATGTTAAATAATGTAATTTAAAATTAGTAATTGCTTTCAAAATTTCTGAGTTATACACTAAATGACAATTGAGAATAGATTTTCAGGTTTTCTTGTGAGTCAGAATTGGGTGAGCAAAAACAAAATGAAAATGTTGTGCGTGTTTTCACTTAGTTTCAGTTTTATTTCAACCACATATGTCGTTTCTTGTCTTTGCTTTCTCTATTTGCAAAGGTAAAATGTTATGAGAATATCTAGAATCAGCTTTGTTTCCCATCATATCTATGAAATGAAAGAAAAAATCTTTATTGTGTCCATATTTAGTGCTGTAGGATATTATGTATACAATAGTAATCAATAGATTTTTTTTTAAATTATTGAATAATCTTGATCTTGCTTTGTATGGATTCCCATTGAAAGGATGGGTAGGATAAAATAAATGCCAATGCTATAGCACCTACCACAAGCCAGCATTGTTCTGGGCTATTTTTGTGTACTTTATGTAATTAAAAATTACAAATTTTAACTCATTTAATGTTCATATAACCTGTATGAATTAAGTAATATGACCCCCACCGATTACATAGATAGAAAAATGGAGACTCTATAGTTAAATGACCATAGGAAAACTGAGTTTCTATATAGTTAAATGACTTGCCCAACGTAGTGGAACAGTAATTGAGATCAGGTTGTCTGACTCCAGAATCTGTGCTCTTAACTACCATGCCGTAAATAACAATATCAAAACATCTGATTATTTTGTGCAATTTTGCCTTGAAGACTTTGGTTTGCATTTTGACAGAATGAAGCTTATTAATACATTCCTCATTAATCAATTTTGAATATCCCTTTTCAGAAGATTTTTACATTTAATTCTAAAAATCTGAGATTGTTGAAAATAAGTATCAATCTCCAGGACATAAAAAAGAAAAGAAAGACAGAGAGAATGAAAGAAAAAAATAAAAGAAGAAAGGAAGGAAAGAAGGCCCAATTTGTGCTTGATTGATCAGTTTGAAAGGTGCTGACTGTAAAAGATGATGTCTTCAGGGTTTGGATCATGTTCCTTTAGTATTTTGGTTTCCTAAGATAAATCTGTGAAGACTTAAGAGGAGGCCACTTCACTAGTTTGGTTCAATAAAGTTACTTTTTCAGTGTTTAAAGCTATTAATGTTTGACACTCCTAAGCAAGATTCCTCTTCTTGAATTATATGATTCTGGAGAATAGGTTCCATGTTTTCTTCAGTATTCTATTCCATGTTTCTAGACCACAGCTTTGTATTTCAGTGAGCATTCAACTAACCTCTGTTGAATGAATTATATTTGAACTGCATTTTAATTTAGTTTGTATCTATATGGTTACTGTTAAAAATAAGTTGTTTAGAATAACATAAAGGAAATTTTAGACATAATAATCTATCTTTAATAATCATAAATTGTGATTTAAGCATACCTTGCCTTGACTTTTAGTACTGAGGCTTTTGACATTCAAACAAAAAGAGTAACATCTTTTGTAAACATAAATCTATGATGTTCATAGGTTTACAGAGATGTTTAGAAAAGTTATGTAGTTAATATGCAGACTAATTTCTGCAATGAATATTGCAGCCTGAAATGAAAGTAAGAGATATATTTACCTTTTGTTTTAAACTTACTTATGGTAACAGTGATGAACGAAATATGTTACTATTCTAATGTTAGTAAAATTATACTGTGGGAAAAGTTCACAAAATAAGCTCCAAATCTCTTTATATATATTAAAATCAGTATATTTAAGATAATTTGTTCAATAGAGACTGATATGTTTATTTCATTAAGAGCTAAGGCCAGGATAGAAACATGATGGTAATACATGTATTATATAAATAATGCCTTTAGATTACTTACTTATTTTATTCAATAACCCTTTTTTTTTTCTTTTTTGAAGGTTTCAGATTTGGAATATTGGTGTTTCTGTTCCGGAGGAATTTTTCTTTTTCTTTTTAATTTAAAGAACAATCTTCAGTCTTGGAATACAGAAGAGGAACTAGAAATACACGTATTTTGTTCCGTGTTTGAACACTCCTTCCTGAGGAATACTCCCTACCTGAGTAGACAGCCATGTGGCCATCGCAGCTACTAATTTTCATGACGCTGTTAGCTCCAATAATTCATGGTAAGATCTTTCAGTAGATTTTTGTGTAATGCTTAATGTTGTCTCACTTATTCATACTAGACCCTTCCTTGGGATCTTTGCTCTGAGATTACTTTGTGGTTTTTTCTTACCTTATGTTAGTATGAAAAAGTTAAAAGAACGTGATGTGTATTTTAAGCTGAAATAGTTATGACTTTTCAGTTGCATTTCTTAAAGTGCCTATTGAAATGTATTTATAACCAAAAGATTTTTATTTAAAAAAAAAAAAGCTCTTGCATTTTATTTTTTGTCTTTACCACATTTTTTGGAAAATCCGCTGAATTATTATCTAATTTATTGTGAACTTTTTGGCTTACATATTATCATACTTAAACATTTTTAATGTAGTAAATTTGAGCATTTGAAGGAAAACTCTAAAAGTAAAATCCTACATATTCAAAAGTATCTGCTTTCCCAAACCAAGTAATTATTTTTTTTTTCTGAGTACTTAGTGCTTTGCACAATCTTTAATATACAGAACACAAACTATAACCTCCCATTAAAGGGAAATTGTTGCTGTACTATACCTTGTCATGCAGAAACACAAACAAATAAAAAATCAAAACAACACAACAAGAAGATAATATTAAGGTATGTTTTCACTTTTTAAAGAAAGGTGATTTTATGGAAACATGCTAATATTCTTAATAGACGTGTATACTTAATATTGTTCATTTAGATATCTTTGCATTTTTAACAGAAATATAGTTTAGGAATGATGGACCTTTGCAAATATTATAAAATATATCACATTATTCATTATATAACCGAGACATTTATGTCTTTATAACTTGGTATAATATTCACTGAATCTCTCTAAAACCTGATAAATTAAAGTCTCTATGTATGTTCCTCTTACACAATTTAATATTTTTGGTTAATTATCATTGATTTTTTACTCTAAGATGAAAATGTTGTAATATAGTCAGTCTCTCATATGTTGATGATAATTATAGCAAAGAAAAAAGGACACAGCTGTATTTGCCACCGCTTAGGAGGTCCCAGAATATTATAGTGTAGCAAGCAGCTGAAATGAATTTTAGCCTTTTTAGCTCACTTTTGGTTTTTAATTTACTATAGAAACCCATTGTAGTTCATCAGTGATGCAACTCTGAATCTGGCCTGTGTTTTTAAGTTTTAACATGAATTGCATTTTCTGTCATTCTAAATACTGGGTAAAATAACTTCTTTTGAAGTTTTCCTCTAAAGTCCCCTGGACGCAAAATATTTAGTTCTAGCAATTCACTATATGGTAGAGATGTTTTTAAAATGGTAGTAAAATCTTACTAATTCAACCATCTTGTTTTAAGCAAATTTGTCCAAAATTTTTAAATGTTTTCTTAATTGTATACTAGGGCTGTGTTGCATTCCCTACCTGGGCACATATAACATTTTGTGATGCGGGAAAATAAAAACAGCTATTTTACTTGAAACGGTGCTTTTCTAATTATCCATATATCTAAAGGTAATTTAAATTAGATTTTTTTATGTTATAAAAATGCCTCCCTTATAATGTTATTTTGAGAATAAAATAAATAGCATATGTAAATAATACAGCACAGTGCATAGCAAATATTAGGTGCTTGAACATTTGAGTTCCCTTCATTATATAATCTATCCCTCCAGTTAATTTTTGTTCAAGTAAATTATAATAATGAGGAATTAGCCATAGAGCTGACTTATTTAATGCTGATACTATGGAAAAAAAAATACATACACACACACACACACACACACACACACACACACATACATATATTTACACACAAACAATTCATGTTCAAAATGTCACACTAAAATTACCCTTGTTAGAGAAATTTAGGTTAAAAATAGCAGAAACAGATATTGTAAGAAAGATTCGCTTTTCAAAACTAAAATGCCTGGTTCTTAAAACTGACACATATTATATATTTCAGTGGACCCCAAAATGTGGCTGAGCCATGGGTCTTGGGTCTTGTTTTGGGGATTGATAGTCTGTATTGAAAGCACACCTGCACACACATACACACACACACATGCACACAGACACACACACACACACACAGACACACACACACACACAGAGAGAGAGAGAGAGAGAGAGAGACAGAGAGAGAGAGAATATCTCCAAGTAACTCTCTGAAAACTATTAAATCAACCACTAGCGTAATGATAGGACATACCAAAGACTGTTGTGGTATGTAAAATACTCTGGGCTAAAAATTAAAGTAGTTCTTTCCATTTTATGTTGACTATTCAATAGTATCCTGAGTTTTGAACCATAGAGGACGAAACAATGTAGAAACTTTTTTTTAAATCAACTTTTTCCTTTATTTTAAAACTCTGCACCTGGGAAAATGCAAGTGGTTTTGTCTTCCTTCTATAAGAAGGCTTTTTCTTTTGCCTTTGTGATACCATTTCTGACTTGTGAATGAAGGGCTTTATAAGCAGCCTTTTGGAACCTAACTTGCTCATAAGTAGAAAAATGTACCTTTGATCAAGTGCTGAAATATAATAGGATAGGAATTTTTAGAGTCCCCATCCATCCTGGCTTAAGAGACTACTGCATGACTTGAAACCTCAGATGACTGAGTTAAAATGTATGTCACAGTTACAGAAGTACTTCTGGTTCCAACATATTCTCTGCTGACATCTTGCTACTGTTGTTGAGATGTCCAGATCTTTGGCCCTCTTGACCATTGAGAATTATTTTTTCTGAATAATGATCTTAATTGCTATCCCACTCTTAAGAAAAAAATACTAACGATGACTACTGAATTTTTAGCCATAAACTTAAGATGTTTTAATTCACTTAATATTCACTGTAAGTGCATGGGTTTATTTTTATTATTTGTTATTATGATCATCACTATCTTTACAGATAAAGACTTTGAGGTACCCTGTGGTAAAGTAAATTGAGGTCACACAGCTATTAAATGACACAGGCAAATTAAAATCAAGGACTTGGCTTTTGAGCTCTGCTTTTGCTGCCAGTAGATATCCAACTCCTATCAAGACCATTCCTCTCTACATAGAATCTCATCTCAACTCTCCTGGTGACTTGGGAGCAGGTGAGGCAGAAACGTTAACCATCTGCCTCTTCCATGTTCTTGGGACAGACAGACCGTGGTTCTGCAGTCTGACAGACAGGAGATGAAATTCCAACTCTGCCACCTACTGGCTCTGTAATCCTGTTTATCTGTCAACTAGTTAATAAATATCATTAATGACCCACTGCAAGCCAGAAAACTACTAGATGCTCAAGACAGAAGTGAACAAAAGACTTGTACTTCTTCCCTCAAGGAGCTTACAGTAACCTAAAAATATGTAAAAATATAATTTCATCTGCAAGAATGAACCTTTATTCCTTGCAGAATTATTTTAAGAAATGGATGAAATTATATATGTGTAACTTCTAACATAGTGCTTTGGCATTTGATAAACCTCTCATTTTTTCCCTACTCCTTTCTTACCTTGTAATAGAGGTAAACTCCTGAGCACTAGGTAAGGAAAATAAATAATTACTGTTATTCTAACCCCGAGAATGGAAATAAATCTTTTTCTACTCTAATCTCAGTATTTATGTTTTTCCAAACATTTCTAAATACTAGTATGTAAACAATTATTATCAATATTACTAATATCTAAACAAAATTATTCTCACTATGTAGGAATGTTTAAATTACTATTTTAATTGGTTATATATAATTGTTAGGGTTATATTTTTGCATAATCTACGTAGACAAAATTAGAAACTAAGCCAAAAAATTAATTCTGATAATGTTTATGTTAGTTGAATAATCTCCTCATTGCTCTAAAAAGTCCGGCCAATATTTTATGTAGAAAAACAAAACAAGTACATCAATATTGCATAAATATGTACGATTTTTAAAATTAGAATATGTCCCTGCTTCTATGTTTATCTGTTCATATTCTGTGTCTCTGTGTACTTCTGTATTTCTCTTTTTCTGTTTTCCATGACTGTGTCCCCTTCCTGTAGAGCCATAAAATCCTTATCTATAATGCAATGAGACCTGGCAGAAGTAAAGAGGAGCAGCTGAAGCAGATGGCCAGTTCTTTGCTGTGCACTCCTGTAGTGTTGTATGAAGATAAAGGATTCTTTTTTTGTTGTTGTTCTATTGAAGTGGTTGGGAGCAAGGGAAAATAAGGAAATTGGAGAACAAGAACCTAGTAATAATGCAGGTACCTGGGACTCATTCTGATTGGCGGTAAAGAAATATCAAGGTCCAATGTGGGACCTTGGGCTGTGAGACCTGTTCCTGGGAGGTAACTACATCCAAGGCCTAGCTATTTGGGAGTTCAGATGGTGATTGTGGTGCTCAAATATTTCAACTATATCTTGGCTTAATTGAACCTCACTTGTAACAACTGCATCATAGTTGAAGAGGTAGAAAGCAGGACCACTGGCACTTAAACTAGGAATAACGGCAAGCAATATGTTTTATAGAGTCTTCACAAAAGCAAAATCAACTACAATATTAAACAAGCTTCTAGAACCACCTTATTCATGCTTTTTTTTCTGCAAGTGTATCGTTAAAGTTGCATCTATATTTATATATTCCGGGACTTTGCTTGTTATCCTGCATTTTATCATGTGCAAGAAATTACTTATAATAAACAGTTCTTAGTAGGGACAAACGAATGATCAGGTGCCTATTTATTTTTATATAATTTTCATTTTATTGTTTATCTGTGTTTACAATTATAATACTAATGTCAAAGATTTAAGGTAATACTCATGTATTTTGTAACTTCTAATGAGATATGAAACTTGAAAAAGTGCAAAATTACAATTAACTACATAGCATTTTATCATATAATTCTTTCTATGAAGTAGTGTTTTATTAGTTGTGAGTCAGGTTGACTTCTAAGCTCTGCTTAACTTCATTATTTTTAGAAATTAATCATCCTTGAAATGTTTATAACACTTGCCAGCCTAGGTAATTTGTAATTTCTGCAGTAATATAACAATTTTTATGGTC